GACGTCTCTCTCTCTCTCTCTCTCTCTCTCTCTCTCCTTAGAGTTATTAGGAATACAAAGGACTCTCTCCTTCCCTCCCCCCTGAGAGTACTACGGAATATGGACTCTCTCTCTCTCTGTCTCTAACATCTCAAGTGAAATGCAGAGGAAGGTCTCGTTCACTTAAGTGGCATCGTGTGGCAGGAGCTAATGCTAATAGGTATTACTTTACTTTCTGACAGTTTACAAAAGCATAGCCTCTTCGCCCCCATGTGCTTGATGCTCCATTGAAAAGAAATTACTTTAAAGTTTACAGTTCTTATTTTTAAAAGTGGGAATCTCTACTGCTATATGAAGTTATGAACAAATCAAATGAAACAAGAGAAAAGTTTATATAGAGCTGGGGCTTTAAACAATCAAATTAGAGCTTACCTCAAAAATTTAATTAGGAGAGATTGTTTTGATGCCCAAATATTCTTAAATTGATCATTTCAACATCAAGATGCATGGACATGAGAAAAAAATAGATTCAAGTTTTGGAAATATTGTATTTTGTAATGCATTTTTTGACCGTCAATTTTCAATATTTTCAAGTTTTTATAGATATGCCGATCTACACTATTTTTGAAACTTTAAACTTTATAAATAAAGATGAAAATATATTTTAAGGCTATCACAAAGATTTCCAGTGTTGAAATCACATTTCTTGACACTATTTGAAGGTAGGCTCTAATTTGATTGTTTAGAGTTTTGGCTCTATACAAACAGCACCAATGAAACAATGGAATGGTAGGGTTTTAATGTGTTCCCGCACCTATTCTAGTGTCTATCACCTCAACATCTATGATCATGAATCAAGTAAGAAAAAATAGTCCATGTTGTACACTTCTTTTTGGACCATTTGTTTCAATTTTTATGAATATGATTTTTATATTGAAAGTTTCAAATTCATGGATCTGAAGTGGAAATGGATTTATTTAGGATGTATTCAGGTCCTAAAAATCAGGGCATCGAGTAGTCCCCAAAAACTTTTTCATAATAAAAACTGTGTAGCCACAAAAGGGAACAAACAAATGTGAAAAGAACAGGAAAAATTGATTTACGGTATGAGACATTTTAGAAAAATCTTTAAAAAAGGGAAAATACAAAAGCAGGCGATATGACAAGAAAAGTTAAAAGAATCCAAATTACATGCACAATTTTATGATTTATTTTTATTTTTTTAAAGTGGCTCGAGTTTTACCAAGTACTTGGTCTGCATGGAGCAGAGTTTTAGTCGACTCGGCCATGTTTTCAATCATTAATACAATCTAATCAAATCAAAAGAAGGTACACTTTCAAAATGGTTAGAGATGGTAAGTATTCATCGCCATTAGCTCATTTCCTTGATCCCAAAAGGATGAATTAATGTTCATCACGAGGAAGAAAGAAGTTCCAAGTATTAAATTTAAAAAGAGTAATGATGTGATAGGACTTTTCTCCACCCATGTGTATAAGACCTCAAAAGATCACCATTAAATTTGATATGGATATCTAGAAAAGTTATGACATGGGTGTGGGATTTGATTTTTTTAGAGATCCGCGCCAAATTTAATAGTAATCCTTTGGGGTCCTATACATATAGGTGAAGGAAGGTCCTATAGGATCATTTCTCATTTAAAAATATCAATGTAGGCATAATCTTTAGTATTCATGAATGAATGGGGGACAAAATGGGGTCACTCACTAATAATTGGTTCATCCAAATGGACCGGAGTCATTTGTTTTTTTGAACTTCAAAGGGACAGTCATAATCATAGGGGCTGTTTGGATGCTCCCATAATTCTAGTAATTGAACAAGGACATTTCTACTTTTTTTTTTTCGTTCGATTTTATGAATTAATGGCAGAAATAAAATGAACTTTATTGGGGTAATCATGGTCAACCCTGTTTGGAGCCATCCTTATTTTTCTATTAAGCAATGACAAACATTTCTACCAACCACATATTTGAGTTTACCAATTTCAGATTCAAAATTTTCTATTGTAGTTTGGGATAGGATAATTGAAAGGGTGCAAGTCAAACTTGATCTTTGGAAGCATAAATATCTATCCTTGGGAGGTATGATTACGCTTTTAAGATCATGTTTGGCCAACCTTCTAGTGTACCAGATGTCGGTGATCCAAATTCCAGCTTAAGTAGGGAAAAGAATTGAAAGGATGATGATAGATTTTTTGCGGGGTCCGTATGGTGAGAACATGAAATTCTATTTGTTAAGATGTGATAGAGTTTGTACCCCCAAGCATGAAGGTGGATTGGGTATTCGAAATGTTAGAATGTTTAACCAAGCTCTATTGTGTAAATGGTGATGGCGCAACACACAGTTGAAAGATCATCTTTGATACCAAGTTTTGGTTTCTAAGTATGGGATGGATTGTTATGATTTATGGCCTGGTGGTGGTAGAGGTAAGGAGACGTCTTATATGTGGCGAGCTATTTACAACTGTAGGCCCATGATTTCTGGTTACTTGAGGTGGAATGTTGGAAGTGGCCGACTGGTTTTGCTTTGGCATCACAAATGGTTTGGGGATTTTCCTCTTAAATCTTCTTTCCCTGATTCGTTCCGCGTGGTTTTTAACCAAAATATTTTAATTTGTGAAGCAATAGAAATGAGAGGCCAACGGTATTCATGGAATATATCTCTCAGATATAAGCGTTTAAATAATCTGCTATTATCTCAATGGTGCTCGCTAATGGAACTCCTGGACAAAGTGTATATTTCACAAGATGCAGATGATATGTTAGTGTGAGAGATTGAATGTGATGGTAACTTCTCAGTAGAATCTTGCTATAATTTGTTTTTCCATTATTGGTAGAGATGGTCATATCCTAATATTACTCAGATATGGAAATGGCCAATACCCCATAAGGTTCAAGTATTTGTTTGGTTGGATGCATAAGACAAAATCTTGACTATTGATAATCTTCAAAAAAGGGGTAAGATTCTGCCAAACATTTGTTTACTTTGCAAACAAGACAGGGAATCAGTAGCTCATCTTTTGATCCACTGCTCCTTTACTTCAAGAATTTGGCATTGGTTGATGGACTTGGTAGAGTTTCCCTAGTGTTGCCTCTTAGTATGTTTGATTTTGTTACTCAATTCACGCTCCCCTTTTGCCCTAAAGTAGGTGGTGTAATATAGAAAATAGTAAAAGGGGTGATCATGTAGGAAGTTTGGAAGGAGAGAAATATGAGAAATTTTGAGGGATCTGTTTTGCCGTTTGACAAGTTAATCCATGTAATCAAACTTTCTATTTGGTCAAGTCTCTCGATGTCCAAAGAGGGATAGGGGATCTCAAAAGTTGATGTTATGGTAAATGTCTCTAATATGTTTTCACTTGGTGTGAGTAGATGTTGGCCTAAGGGGTTGTGGTTGCTCCGCCTATGAGTTGTCTGAAGATAAATTTTGATGGGAGCTCTTTTGGGAACTCGAGTCCTGTTGGTATTGGTAGTGTTATTCGTGATTATTTTGAAAATATTGTTTTATCCTATGCTGGACCAATTGGTACTGCCACTGCTAATTTTGCGGAATTAAGTGCCTTGCTTAGGGGTGTGAATATTTTCATAGAAGGAGCTTGGGGACCAGCTGTTTAATTGAAGGAGACTCTCTGAATGTTATTAGGTGGCCCAGGAAGGAGCAAAAAATACCGTGGGAACTTCGATTTTTATGGTTGCAGGTTATGGATGCTAATGCATCTTTATCTGTATCTTTTTTCCATGTTTAGCATGAAGCTAATGATGTTGCTGATACATTAGCAAATGACAGCGTTTCTCTTAGTTCTTTTACTATTTTTGGCGATGTAATTTCATTTTAAGTTATCAATAAAATTATTGAAGGTTGGTAAAAAAAACTCTTGGTTCTTTTACTATTTCTAACGATGTAATTTCATTTTAAGTTATCAATAAAATTATTGAATGTTGGTAAAAAAAAAATGGCAGACATTTCTACCTTTCAAAGTTGGATAGGGTTTCTATGAGTCAGCTGACTCATAATAATATGTAAACGTACAACATACAACCTCCCTCTGAAATTCATCTTGAAGATGGATTTTTTATCTAAAATTTTAGGGATTCATCATCCAAGTCAAGTTGATCATAAATATGATTTTTTTTTTGAAACTTTAAAATATTTTTTTTAGGGATATGTTTTGCACCATCCATATTTGATATGACCTGTGCGTTTTACCTAACGTCCATCTTTAGAAAGAACGTTGAAGAGTCAGCCGGTGCAAGATCAACGGGCTCTTGCACCGGCTGACTAATGGAATACTTTTCCTTCAAAGTATCAGTACTGGCCGAATCATATATTTTTTTTTACTTTAAGTATATCTAATGTTTTCTTATCTATCCATTTTCTTTGAACTTTGGATGGGATAAATATGGGGCTAGTTACCAAATAATAGGAAACAAAAAGTAAAAAGAGATGGGATAAATATGGGGCTAGTTTTACCAAAGGGTGAAGTTGGCATACTGATGCATCCGTAGCTGTATAGGTAAGGTGCACCTTCGAATTCTATCATGGTATATAATTTTGATGTAAAATGTTTTTAAGATTATCTGAAAATCTATTTTTATATCTAATTATAAAATTTTAAACTTAAAAAATGGTTAAAATCAAGTAAGTCTATAAACATATGAAAATATTGAAAATGAACGTTGTAGATAATATGTTGTAAAATGCACTATTTCTGAGGCTTAAATATTTTTATTTTTCATGATCATACATCTCAACGTCGAGATGATGAATCAAAGGTTATAAGATTGCATCCTTGTATAAACTTTTTCCTTTACCAAATAATAGGAAACTTATTAGATGAGAGATAGCTCTATGAGGTAAAAAGCCATGGGATAATTAAGGGTTGGATGAGAGATAAAAATATGAGATAAATATGGGTCGGACGAGAGATAAAAATATGGGTTGGATGAGAGATAAAAACATGGGATAAATATGGGTTAGATGAGAGATCAAAATATGAGAGATAAAAGCATGGGATAAATATGGGTTGGATGAGAGATAAAAATATGGGTTGGATGGGAGATAAAAACATTATGGGTTGGATGAGAAATAAAAATATGGGTTGGATGGGAGATAAAAACATTTTGGGTTAGATGAGAAATACAAACCACATGGATGAGAAATAAAAATATGAGTTGGATGGGAGATAAAAACATTTTGGGTTGGATGAGAAATAAAAATATGAGTTGAATGGGAGATAAAAACATTTTGGCTTGGATGAGAAATAAAAATATGAGTTGGATGGGAGATAAAAACACTTTGGGTTGGATGAGAAATAAAAATATGAGTTGGATGGGAGATGAGAACATTTTGGGTTGGATGAGAAATAAAAATATGAGTTGGATGAGAGATAAAAACATTTGGGTTGGATGAGAAATAAAAATATGAGTTGGATGGGAGATAAAAACATTTTGGGTTGGATGAGAAATAAAAATATGAGTTGGATGGGAGATAAACATTTTGGATTGGATGGGAAATAAAAATATGAGAGATAAAAACATTTTGGGGTGAGAGAGGCTCGAACTCTCGACCTCAGGATTACTCGTTCAGCTATGAGACCTACGCGCTAGCCAACTGCGCCACCACCCCATTGTGCAATTTAGAAGATTTAGATAAAAGTAGTTCGTTTGTATTGCTTAGAGGATTTAGATTAAACTGGTTCTTGGCTTCAGTTCCAAAAAAAACCTCGGAGTAAGAGATCAAATTTACTCCATGATTTCGATGCATGAGATTGAAACAACAAAGGGGTGCAGTTTGTATAAGGCATAGGCTCTTAACAATCAAATTAGAGCCTACCTTCAAATAGTATTGAAAAATATAGTTTCAATACTGAAAATATTTGTAATAGCCTTAAATTTATTTTTATCTTTATTTATAAAGTTTAAAGCTTCAAAAACAGATCTATAAAAACTTGAAAATCTTAGAAATTCACAGTTCAAAAATACATTACAAAATACACTATTTCCAAAACTTGAAATCTATTTTTTTCTCATGTCCATACATCTTAATGTCGAGATGATCAATTTAAGGATATTTGGGTATCAAAACAACGAAATTTTTTTACATAGGCTCAAATTTGATTATTTAGAGCCTCGACTCTATATAAACTTTTCCATGTTCATCTAAATTTATATGCTCGAGACAATTACATATAAAGTCGTGGTCCCTCTAAAAAAGATGAAAATAATATAAATTTTAAATAATAATTTATTTTTTTAAAATTTATTAGTTTTTACTTATTCATGATCTCCTTGTTAGATTTTGTGCATGGGATTATATACAATGAGACTGTTTACCTCTGGTACAAAGACGTCATAAGTACTTGTAACCATCCAATATAAAATCTAATAGTTTGAGTTTGTTACAAAATTCGAGAAAAGTTCTTTTGAGCTTTTAGCTTGATTAATAGAATGAGTATACCCTTCCGATATAAAATCTGATAGTTTGAGTTTGTCATAAAATTTGAAAAAATTTATTTTGAACTTTGAGCTTGATCAATACAATAAATGTAGCAAACCAATTTTACATTTAATGGTTAAAGATTAATTGTGACCACTTTGTATGAAAGGTATTTTATGGTCTCATTATATATTTTTTCTTTATGTATACCTAAAAAATTGATCCAAAACCCTTTCTAAAAAGTTAAACATCAAAAGGGGACGCAAATGTATATATAAGTCCTAAGACAGGGAAACATGTGCCTACAATTTTCCCTATTATTAGAGGAAAATTGTTTGATACAGGTTGGACCACAGGAATATATATATGCGGTACAAAAAGTGTAAAGCATGTATTTTAAAGATGGATACAAGTGGGTGTTTCATTTAAAAATGATGGAAAACTAACGGTTCAAATATTTTCTTAATAGAATTATTATTTTTAGTTTTTAAAATATACTTATGTTTTCATAATCACGATAAGTCCAAAAATCCATCTTAAAAATAAATTTATTAATAAGCATTTCTACATATGCGGGCTCGGCCGCATAGAAACCGGGTCCATTATCAAATGCAAAACCCTAACAAGCACTTAAGAACAACACGTTACCAGTGTAACTCAAGCCCAGGAATACCCCCAAACCATTTACAGATCGAACGTTGAAAATTGCCATTAATGGACCTCGAAAAATCTCCTGTGAGACCGTAGTTTTCCTCAACCCTACTTTCACAAACTTAAATCTTCAAATTCAGAGCATAGGAAGCAAAAATGCAGAAGGCTGGGAAGCTCATTATCTCTGAGAGATATTCCAGACTGCTTGTTCAAAAATATCAGAAGTTATCGTCCCATTTTCAGGTCAGTGATATAAAGCCAGAGAAACCTGGTTATTTGTTTGGTTCATTGGTTCATGATGCCCATAAGAATAGTTTTTTTTCTGCATTTTATTCAAATGCGAGAAATCTAAGACATGGGTTTTCATCACAAGCAGTTTTAGCTTCTGTTGATCCACCTCAAACCAGAGATCAAGACGTTCTGAATACCCAGTTGACTGAAATTGTATTGAGGAGCAAATGGTCTAAGGAGACTGAAACTGAATTGAAAACGTTGAATTTCTCACTAAATGAAGGCCATGTAATGCATGTGTTGAAAAATCTTAAGGGGAATCCTCGTTCTGCAATTGAGTTTTTCAATTGGGCTTTAGAGGCTATGGATGGTAAGCTTAGTTCTGAAACATATAATTCAATTATTGTTATTCTGGGTAAGAAGGGTTATACAACTGAGTTTTGGGGTTTGATCAAAACTATGAGAAAAGAAGGACAGAACATTCAAGAGGAAGCCTACAAAGTCATTTTGAAAAATTTTGATGAGGCAAAATTGGTGAAAGATGCTGAAAAATTGAAGAAATTGTTTCTTTCGGAACCTGAGTCCAGTTCATGTGATGCGAAAATATGCACTCAAATACTTAGGATTGTCAATGAATGTGATTGGAGTGAAGAAGCAAGTAAAAAATTGGGTTCATTGGACATTTCTTTATCTGATGAAATGGTAGTACGTATTTTGGAACGGCTTAGTGCTTCTCCCATAAAGGCTTTGAATTTCTTTCGTTGGGTTTCCCAAGAACTATCTTTTAAGCACGGTGAAAACACTTATAATGCAGTGATTGTTCTTTTGGGGCGAGAGGATTACATTAATAAGTTTTGGGATTTGGTCAAGGAAATGAAGCAGGAAGGCTATGGAATTCAAATGGGTACTTATGCCAAGCTTTCGAGGCGGTTTTCAAAGAGAAAAATGATTAATGAGGCAGTGGATTTATATGTTTACACGATGAAGAGTCCAAACAAGCCTTCAGACCATGATTTTTCCATGCTTTTAAGGACACTAGCATTGAATATTGAACAGGGTTTGAATTTGTTTCCTAGAGCTATTAAGGCCTTTGAGGATTCAGGCCATTCTGTCTCTAAATCTTCTGTTGATGGTGTTCTTAAAGCATTAGCTAGTATTGGTAAATTAAGTGAGGCTGATAAAATATTGAAGGCCATAAGTGCAAGTGGATTGCAAGCACATGTTAATTTTCAAAACCTGGTTATTTCGGTGCTTTGTAGAGCTGGTGATTTAGAAAAGGCATCCAAGATTTTCCTTTGGGTGGCAGAGAAACAAGGTAAGGCAGATGCTGCCACACTTGAATTGCTGGTGAATAAATATTGCGACTTGAAAAGGGCAGGTGATGCTTTCACTTTCATTAAGAAGGTGGTTGAAAATACGGGGATCAAGCCTTGGCATACCACATACAAAACCTTAGTTGAAAAGCTCATAGGCCAAAATAGGATTGGTGATGCATTGAAGCTCTTGGGTTTGATGAAGTGTCACGGATTTCCACCTTTTACTGATCCATTTTTTGAATATATTCCTAAATCTGGGACTGTAGATGATGCTGTGGGGCTATTTGCGGCCATAACAGTGAAGAACCTACCTTCTACTTCAGTGATAATTCGCATGTTTGAAGCGTTTTTGAAGGCAGGCAGGTTTAATGTGGCCCATGATTTACTTTCCAGGTCTCCAGGTCACATTCGTAACCATGCCGATATATTGAATCTCTTTTGTGCCATGAAGCCTCAGGGAGCTGCTGCGTAGACCATGTGATACGATGGGTTTTTATCGATTTTGTTATTGTCTTTGCTGGACTCACATGGTAATTGAGCTAATCTTTTCTTTTAATTGTTTATTTCTTGTCCTTGTTTTGGGTGGTCAAGATGAGGTAGGCACTGTGCAGGACACTCACAGAGGCATAAACTTGTCCAGAAAGGCTCATGGCAACTCTGTCCTTAACAGAGCTACAGTTGGAAATAATCTTTGAGGATTGTGCCTCATCGCAAGGCTGCTCATGTTCAGTGTAGCTTGCTCAGAAAATACTTGACGGCATGAAAGGAAGTTTCAAATATGTTCCTTGGCGTGTATAATGTGTAGACTTTTGATTTGTCATCAAATCATCACAAAGGAAATGCTAGTCATTTAAAGTTTATTATGCTAGGTCTTCTTATTTGGTTTCTTCTTTCTGGTTTGGTTTTGAGGCAACTGGAAGAACTAGTAGTTTTTTGTTTCAGTGGGATATTTAAGATCCTATCTTCCATTTCTAGAGTAGAATTTTTCATATCTGTTAAATCTAATTTTGTGTGGACAAATGTGATGCAGCCTAGTTACTAGTTGTATGCCATGGTATATTCGCAATCATCATCCTATGAATTTTGTGAAATGTTTTATAGCTTTCCAAAGTTTTACTTTGATATGATGTGTTTTTCACTTGGCTTTGACTCACTTGCCCTGAAGTATAGTATTCTGCCTGTTGGTTCCTTTTACACTTTGTTGTATTAGAAATTGATTATGTTTTCATCTCACGTTTACAAGGCTGCTTGTCATGAATGGTCTAAAGTACTGTTTACTCTATATACAATGGAAAAATCGTACTCCATTGTGTCAACATCATCCATTGAGATGATGGATGGTAGTAGAGATAGTGTGTGAGCCACCAGAGGTTGACCTCAATGGTAGGTCCGATTTTCTCTATCTTCATCGCTGTCCATTTCTATATACGATGGTGATGCTATGGATGGTGATGACTATGTAAAAAAGAAGAAAAGAGGATAGTGATGATCTGATGGACATAAAGAGATATGCTACATGAAAGAACATCACATTAAAAGGAATGGGGATGCCTCCATTTATATTGAGGTTTCTTCTGATATAATGTAATGCTGATGGACATAAAGGGATATTCTACATGAAAGAACATCACATTAAAAGGAATGGGGATGCCTCCATTTGTATTGAGGTTTCTTCTGATATAATGTTAATGCAACTGGGATGATGTTACCTTGGAAAAATAACTCCATCTGAATCTCATGGAGACTGCAAGTTTCAGACTCTTTGCTTGGCATTTAGGGCATTAAGAGCTGCTACGTAATGCGCAAGCTTTGAACTCATCTAACCTAGCACGCCACACGCCATAATTATTGATAGCACAGGATGTAAACGTGCTTGTGCATTGTAACTGACGAGAAAATTTACTTATGGAAGGAAATTGATCCACTTGACCATTGCATGTTCCCGGCAAACTTGTGTAGAAGCAATGGTGCACCATGGACAACATTGAAATATATGTAAAGATTTCTTAGATGGTCTATTGTCAGAGAGAAATATTTGTAGGAGTATAAACATTTGACTCAAAATTCTTCACTGTGATCCTCTTCCACTGTCTTCATCATTGCTAGTGAACCCCTCCTATATGTCTTGTGTATGGTGTGTATGGTAGACAACATCAAGAAGAGCTCATGCTGGGCTAATTTTATGAATCAATGTACAGGGCAAAGGAGGCAACAGAAATTTTGTTTAGGAGCCAGTTGCCCTATGGCTCCTGGCCCAAACGTCATAATGGACATTTGGACTACCACGTTCAACAATCTCTTTATGCATCAGGTTATTAACTGTGGCCCTAATCTTTTTACGACACTGATTTCTCCTCTAACTACCTTTAGATCTTCTGTGGTGTTTTGGATTGCAAACGTACTGCATTACGGTGATGATACCACACAATTGAAGATAAAGAGAGACTTATACATGCGATGGCAATAAAAAGTTTATCACTGTATGTAAATGCTGTCTCATTTCTTGATTCTTTTTTTTCAATAATGATGTATTGGTGTTTTGATATAGGAAAAAGTTTATATAAGGATTGCAACCTTATAATGTAGAACTATGGATGCACCTCAAACATCCATCGGAAAAGGTAGTTTTAATGTTGAAAAACCCTTTGCTTGATCATCTCGACATCGAGATGCATGTTCATAGA